TATTCATTTACCTGTCATTACTTTTTAGCAATAAGCATCGGTCCGTGTCTCCGTGGTCTCTGCCCAGATTATTACGTGTGTCACCTCAACAGATGCTTCTTAGACAACTAAATCATTCGAATTGAATCATTCTGTTTCAGTATTTCCTATTTTTGATATTTTTACCAGTTTTTGTTTAGCAAATTATATTTGTTGAAAAGCATTGCAGAGCATTAATTTTGCACATTTTCGCGTTTGATTGAATTTAAATTAGGCATTTTTTGACTAATTTAAAAAATAATGAAAGGAGTATTCATTAATCGCATTATCTTCTAATTGTATTTTTTGTAGTATTCATGTGAGAACCGTAATGATAAATTAATTTATTGTATTAATGTGTCATTTATTATAATTATTAAAAATTTTTTGCACTCTTCACATGCATTTATTTCTTTACTATGACAGGATTAATCAATTTATCATAAATTTACTATCGTATAAAGTGTATAAAATCATACTGAAAACTAGAAGCCTTTTTCTACAGCAAACTACAGCTGTGATAACTTGAACGAGTAGTGCGGTGACGTTTAAAAAATGATGAACGAAATTATGCTGATGTACTGGTAACGACATATTCTTTTAACAAAAAAGCATTTGAGGTGCATAGATCGTAACGTGAATACGCTACGATAGGTTGCAACGTGTTCATGTTACGAATTAATAAATGATGCATGCATAAACAGTGAATGTAATTGATTTTTAAACTTTTTTTTCTCGTTAAAATGACGATTTTTGAAAAGATCAAACGAGAGTCTGAAACGGGAAAACAGCCATCAAATAACTATAGCTAGTTTTGCTTTTAACAACAGTAATTACAATACTGATCGAGTCAATGATCAGTGACTTTACAATTTAGTCTTCATAGCTTTGCAGCTAATTTGAACAATATTTAGTGATAATCAAGATTTGCAATAATACCTTGGTATCAACCGCTTCCCTGTTGTATCATTGGTATATGATATCACCTGATGAATTTTTTTGTTTGTCTAGCATTTCGCGGTTTTTCCAGTTTACTCTCTAAAATAATCAAACAAATTATTAAATAACTAACTGGCTATTTGCTATGTATATTGGCTGCCTTCATTACTTATCATTATTTCATTTATGTCTATAAATTTGACTGTCAACAGAATTAAACAAACAGTAATGACATTTTTTTTCATTACTACTCAGGTACATATTTTTACTAAAAGACGAGACAACATATACAATTACTAATACATACAGAGTAGATAGGCAGACATACGTGCATTTACGTCTCGAACTCAGACGAGCTTTCATTTTCTACTCGTTTTTTCTTCTATTTTAATCGTTCCATATTACTGATGCTCACTACTATTATTCAACTAATAATACTTGAGTTCAATGTAAACAGTTAAATGTTTGTAGTATAAAATGAACCATTCTACCTACAATCATTTTCACACCTTACGCTGATAAGTTATTCATTCATTTTCACATTTTGCAGAAATGGTTCACACAAGTCACGTTACAACTGCTGCTCTAATTTTAACAACCTGTATGGTTTTTTGTGCTGCACTTCCAAATGGTATGCATTTGCTCTGGTGTATGTAGTATGATATCATTCACTTATATATTTTCTCATTTTCAAATATTTCTTTCGAATGAAAACTCGGAAATGCTTCGCTATCAAATTATAAGTGATGATCTGGACATGAATTAGAGGAATGACCCTTCCCTACAATTACTATATCATGCACAATTTCAGTTAAACTAAGCACTTGCCACAAAAACTTTTTCCACGTTAAAATTCCTCGCAATAGATATTGAAGCATTTGTTGCTGAAAATAGTCAATATATCAAACTGGGCATTGGTACTAGTGATTCATGATGATACAAATTTTGTCCGAGATATGAAAACTGTATAATTTCATAGATAATCTAACTAGTGTTGACGAACTAAACAAATATCATCTATTCACCCATTCAATACATCATATTAATTATATATAGTGTGTGCGAAATATATAAATTTCAGATAAAATCGGTCCATGTGTTAACAGACTCTGTCCTGATGGTTACACATGCGTATGCGACGAATGTCTCAAAATGAAAACCATCACAGGGGACTTTAAAAAAGGTTGCAGTTTAGCACTTACCGGACACTGCTTTTCATTCACATAGATAGTATGACAATGGCCAATAGTTATGTCCGAATCAGAATGAGAAAATTTAGAATAACCATTATCAAACGTAACACCAGAAAAAATATGCGCACTCTATAATACTTGTACATAATGATTCTAGCTTGCTTTTCTAGAAGCGAAAATCGGACCATGCGTCAACGGTTCATGCCCCGAAAGCCATACATGCCATGAAGGTTTCTGTTACAAATCTAAAGCACTTTCCCAGAAAAAATGCGAACTGCAGAAGCAAAATAAGTGAATAACACTCTGGATAAATTGAACTGTTAATATTATGTATGTTAGTAGTAATTGGTGAAATTTGTTCTGCCGGAAAACACCAACGTATATCTCGAAATGCAGATTGCAGAGTTAAAACTGTAGTAAACAATTAATACTGTATTACATGCATAAATCCTGCTGGCAACTCATTTATGTTGTCAGAAATACTGCAGCTGAAAAATCCCTAATTCAGAACTTAAATTTATTATAAACCGTGAATATATTGATTTCATAACATATATAACAAAAACAAAAACATCAGATGTTGCAAACACTTTCTGTCAATAAATTTCACAACTTACTTTTATTTAGTCTAAATCATGCAAAAATCATAAATAGTTTGCCAGTTCAGGAAAAATAAACAAATTCAGAGATTGTGATTGTTTATAAATCCAAAAACTCGTAATATTTCGCCATCTCTTCATTATACTCCTCCAAAATTTTCTTACGCCGTTCGATTTCTTCTGCTTTCATAGTATGCAGTTTATCTTGCAAATCTTTGTGCATCTGTACCATGGACATGAACCACTGAAGCAAATAAATATATCAAAATAAAAAAGATTTTTCTGCAATCCGAAATTTACACACCTATCATGAAA